ATTATTTTGTTGTTTTTATCTGCTTTTTGGATTCTCATTCTGACGGCACCCATTCACTGCAAAGGATCCATTGCTAAGCAACTGATGTGATGCTACATTTCTCCAAATCTGTTCTCTTGAAGAAACAAACTCATGATCTGGGATGGCCTGTGGGTGAATTATTTACAGCAAATTTTCATTTTTTTGTGAACTATTCCTTTAAGGCAACAACACATGGCTCTTTTTGGGGTGTGTGTGTGTGTGTGTGTGTGTGTGTGTGTGTGTGTGTGTGTTTGTGTGTGTAAGACGGAGATGATATGTAGGCCAGTGTGTGCGTGTGTGTGTGTGTGTTCCTATTAATGTGTGCTGGATGAATGTCCTTCTGCACACACAGACGCAGGGATTTTGACTTTGAATGCACCGCAGCATAAAATTAGACTCTGTCAGTCTGTAGACCTTGTGTTGTTGTAGTTTTAGCTGCAGGTGTTGTTTTCAGATGCTTATTGTTTGTCTTTAATGCCAACAGTGACTGACACTTCAGCTGAAGATTTCACTACAGCTATAACAGAATTGCCAGCTTTGAACACAGGTGGGACAGTGTGACCCTCAAAGGCTCTCGTAGTTGTAGCGATAAGTAGTAACCTGGAATATGACATGTGTAGAGTAATATACTAGGCCATATAAGGTACTATGCAAGTTGCTGCTTTAGTGTACTAGCTGAGCTTAATGATGATGTAATGTGCCTTAATCCAACAGAGTGCTATCTGCAACTACACAAGCGCACACGCAAACACACATGCACGAACACATGCATACTGACAATTTGCATTAAACCGCAGCTTCATAATGTAACAGCATCTCACTTAAGACCTCTGATATTACAAATGTGTTCCGGTTAGATAAACTGATGACACACCGGAGATGACTGAAAAGACTGGCATCCTTTCTGCAGTATGCACAAGCAATATAAACCAAATGACTTTCTCATTCTTGAATTGTTGCAATGAACTGGCAAACATGAATTTTAAAATAAAATAATAAAAAATATAAAATCACTGTATTTATGAGAATTAAACGGCATGCATTGATTTAATGCAACAATAAAACTAATGTTTTGAAAATGTGTTGTTACATACTACATAGAGCATCACATTTTTAAAAATAGTAGGCAATATCAGGGTTGTGTGTCAGAATTAAGCTAAAATTAAATTCCAGTTAATTTTGGGAATTAATGTAACAAACAAGATAAACTGTGAAAAAAGTTTTGAAAAATATTCTAAAAGTTTGAAGGCAGATAAAATTATAGTATGAACAACAGAAAGATAGATAGATAGATAGATAGATAGATAGATAGATAGATAGATTGATTGATATTCAAATTTACACTCATGAATTGAAAGGGAGTCGATTATTCTGAATTTTGCAGAACACTAAGCAGTATGCTAGTATCCCATTCTGAATATTTTAATACACAGATTGAACATGGAATGAATTCATAACTGCCTCTGCAGTGCAGAATGGGATTCCAGTTGATACCAGTGCCCCGCATGTGCCTAGAAAGCAAGTGCAAGGACCAAACTACAAGATTTAAAATGCAAGCAGTTTTGTTAAGCTCAGCACTTTGTGTGTGCGCGTGTATTCCATGCTGACTCTGGTTTCTCTAACCCGTTCCTATTACACTCACCCCACAAATCTCATTAGATGCCCCTCCTGCACACCACGTCCCACCAGCTGAAATAGAGCCTAAGGCACTTTATACCACCATGGAAGCCCCGCCCCATACCACACCCCCTTCTTACATTCTCAGTGAGGACACGCCCCACAAAGCCACACACCTGGAGGAGGGGCCTGTTCATGCACATATAGAAAACAAAGGTAAGTTGCAGGCACTAATTTGTGTGTGTGTGCTAGTGTTGTTAGTATGCTATAGAAGCATCTTTCAAACACTTGTTTTGGCAGTCAAAGCACTGTAGCCAAGCCAAGAGCTCAGCGACTCTGCTGCCAGTAAGTCATCTACTCAAACGTACCCCTAGAGGATTGTGGGTAACGGCTCCAAAGCAGTGTGTGCAGTGGGAAATCAATGCTCAATTAGACAGTGTTTTCCCCTGTCAAAATATAGAGTGACTTTGCATCTTTCAGCGCAAAGCGGATTAGGGCGGCCTGCGAATATATATAAAACAGAGAATCACCGCATGCACACACACACATGCTCATTGATCGAAGCGCGCATACGCACCCGAGGAATGAATACTGCATGATGTTTAACGAGTGAACGAGAACTCCAGCTTGAGCTCAGATCAGAAAACGTCAAGCTGGCATGAAAAAACGGAGGGGGGAATAAAGCACTCAGCTGAGACGCAAGACAAAGCAGCTCATCGGATGGATTTAATAAAGGTGGAGATCTTTGAGATTCCCAGCAGGATACTGCGTGCGTGTGTTGATGAAATTACGCATGGTCGTTGTTTAAGCGCAGGAGTGTCTTTGTACCTCAAACAACACCGATCTGTCGTTTGAGATTAATTGTTGTTTGATTTGTCTGTTTAACGTCATATTCCACTTTAAATCTATTTAGGTACTACATACACCTTTGCAACCACATAGCAGATCACTCAGAAGGGCAGTCACTTTAGTTTGAAACTACATTCAAATTAAGAATCACATGAATAAAGCACAGAAATAAATGAAGCCATTAAAACAGCCACAATAGTTGCACTTTAGCTATTTCAATTACACAGCTGGTTCTATAAAATGCAAAGAAAACAAATAGGTAAAGGATAATGTGACTGAAAGATAAGAATAATATTGATGAGTTAAATAAAACAAAAAATGACTAAAAATGTTACATAAATTAAAAAAAAATAATATAAAATTAGTGCCGTCAAATCGATTAATAACGATTAATCGCATCCAAAATAAAAGTTTGTGTTTCCATAATATATGTGTGTGTACTCTGTATATTTATATGTATATATAAATACACACACATACGTACTGTATATATTTAAGAAATAAATGTAATATATATATATATACAGGTGCATCTCAATAAATTAGAATGTCGTAGAAAAATTAATTTATTTCAGTAATTCAACTCAAATTGTGAAACTCGTGTATTAAATAAATTCAATGCACACAGACTGAAGTAGTCTGGGAAGCATGAAGTAACTGAAGAAGAGTCTGTTGGGCCAATGCCAGAATCGGCTGAGTCAATTCCAGAGCCTGTCAAGCCAATATCGGGATTTCATAAGCCAATGAATAAATATCATGTTCATAAGTCAATACCAGAATCTCATGAACCAATACAAAAATCACATGAATCAATAAAAATAAATCATGAACCAAAACAGAAATCTCCAATAGTAAAACTTCATGAGCCAATTCATAAACATCATGAGCCAATACCAGAATCTCATGAGCCAATGCATAAACCATTTGAGACAATCATGAATCCTCATGAGCCAATAGTGAAACCTCATGAGTCAATGCATAAACCTCATGAGCTAATAGTAATTCCTCATGAGCCAATGCATAAACCACTTGAGACAATGGTGAATCCCCATGAGCCAGTGCATAAACATCATGAGCCACATGAGCCAATAGTGAAACTTCATGAGCCAGGGCATAAAACTCATGAGCCAATAGTGAATCCTTATGAACCAATAGTTAAACCTCATGAGCCAGTGCATAAACCTCATGATCCAATAGTGAGTCCCCATGAGCCAATAGTGAAAACTCATGATACAATAGTGAAACCCCACAAGCCAATAGTGAATTCACATGAGCCAACGCATAAACCGCATGAGCCATTAGTGAATCCTCATGAGCCAATAGTGAATCCTCACAAGTCAATAGTGAATCCTCATGAGCCAATAGTGAATTCTCATGGGCCAGTAGTACATCATCATGAGTCAATGCATAAACCTCATGATCCAATAGTGAATTCACATGAGGCAATGCATAAACCTCATGATCCAATAGTCAATCCTCATGGGCCAATAGTAAATACTCACACGCCAATAGTGAGTCCTCATGAGGCAATGCATAAACCTCGTGAGCCAGAGAAACCTCATGAGCCAATAGTGAAAACTCATGAGCCAATGCATAAAACTCATGGATCAATAGTGAAACCCCATGAGCCAACAGTACATCACCATGAGGCAATGCATAAACCTCATGAGCCAATAGTACATAATCATGGGGCAATGCATAAACCTCATGATCCAGTAGTGAAACCTCATGAACCAATAGTACATCATCATGAGCCAATGCATAAACCTCATGAGCCAATAGTACATCCTCATGAGGCAATGCATAAACCTCATGAACCAATAGTACATCATCATGAGCCGATGCATAAACCTCATGAGCCAATAGTACATCCTCATGAGGCAATGCATAAACCTCATGAACCAATAGTACATCATCATGAGCCGATGCATAAACCTCATGAGCCAATAGTACATCCTCATGAGGCAATGCATAAACCTCATGAACCAATAGTACATCATCATGAGGCAATGCATAAACCTCATGAACCAATAGTACATCCTCATGAGCCAATGCATAAACCTCATGATCCAGTAGTGAAACCTCATGAGCCAATAGTACATCATCATGAGCCAATGCATAAACCTCATGAGCCAATGGTGGAACCTCATGAGCCTATGCATAAACCTCATGAGCCAATAGTACATCATCATGAGCCAATGCATAAACCTCATGAGCCAATAGTACATCATCAAGAGGCAATGCATAAACCTCATGAGCCAATAGTACATCATCATGAGGCAGTGCATAAACCTCATGAACCAGTAGAACATCATCAAGGGGCAATGCATAAACCTCATGAACCAATAGTACATCATCATGAGGCAATGCATAAACCTCATGAACCAATAGTGAAAACTCATAATCCAATAGTGAATACTTACAAGCTGATAGTGAATCCTCATGGACCAGTAGTACATCATCATGAGGCAATGCATACACCCCATGAGCTAATAGTACATCATCATGAGGCAATGCATAATCCTCGTGAGCCAATATTACATCATCATGAGGCAATCCATAAACCTCATGAGCCAATAGTACATCATCATGAGGCAAATGCATAAACCTCATGACCAATAGTACATCATCATGAGGCAATGCATAAACCTCATGAGCCAATAGTACATCATCATGAGCCAATGCATAAACCTCATGAACCAATAGTACATCATCATGAGGCAATGCATAATCCTCATGAGCCAATAGTACATCATCATGAGACAATGCATAAACCCCATGAGCCAATGCATAAACCTCATGAGCCAACAGTACATCATCATGAGGCAATGCATAAACCTCATGAGCCAATAGTACATCATCATGAGGCAATACATAAACCTCATGAACCAATAGTACATCATCACGAGCCAATGCATAAACCTCATGAACCAACAGTACATCATCATGAAGCAATGCATAAACCTCATGAACCAATAGTACATCATCATGAGGCAATGCATAAACCTCATGAACCAACAGTACATCATCATGAAGCAATGCATAAACCTCATGAACCAATAGTACATCATCATGAGGCAATGCATAAACCTCATGAACCAATAGTACATCCTCATGAGCCAATGCATAAACCTCATGATCCAGTAGTGAAACCTCATGAGCCAATAGTACATCATCATGAGCCAATGCATAAACCTCATGAGCCAATAGTACATCCTCATGAGGCAATGCATAAACCTCATGAACCAATAGTACATCATCATGAGGCAATGCATAAACCTCATGAACCAATAGTACATCATCATGAGGCAATGCATAAACCTCATGAGCCAACAGTGAAACCTCATGAATCAATATTAGAATCTCATGGACACATACCGACTCAGCCAAAAAGGGAGTCTCATGAACTAGTACCAGAGTCTGTTGAGACAATGCATGGATCTGTGCTGCCAAAATTAGAGACGATTTCAACAGTACACATGCCACATGAAACAGTATCAAAGCATCATATCTCAGGACCAAGACATGTGGATCGAAAGCCAGAACTAGAGAAATCAAAGGAGTCAGAAGAAGGAAAGACAAAAGAAGAGGAGGAGGAAGGGTCTCATAAACACACAGCTGTTGAAGGTATGGCTCAGCTGGTAGTCTCAAATGGCCTGTCGCATAGAATGTAGTACAAACCTATGGATTGCTCAGTCCTTCTCCTTGCTCGTCTAGATCCACACAAACACTCAAATGAGCACAGTAAAGGAGAGGATGAAGTAAAACCCATCCATAAGTGGGAGAGAGAAGATGAAGAGAATAAAAAAGGTATCCCTGCTGTGAGGTAGACTTAAGAATGCTTTGTGGCTGGTGAAGTCTATCACTGCATATGCATTGTAGTTGTTTGAATCCACATTAACAAGGAGCTGCATTAGCTTCTGTAGTCTGCCACTTTAGGTTGAATATATTAGAGTACACATGCTTGGTAGTGAATTTTTGGGCCTGTTAAATGTTTCAAACAATGATTCAGTTGCCCTCCCTTAACTGTGTGGACTGATAGCTGGAGATTTGCTTGTAGTTGACTCGATTTGCTTTGCTTTGCTAGTTGTAGTAGGTTTCTAGATAAAGGTTATAAAATAAGGCTTTTCATTTTCCAAAGCTCTTCTGAAGTTCTTACTATCTGGAGGGCAACAGACTGTACAGCTAAAAGGCATCATACAGTGGGTACGGACTTTATTCAGACCCCCTTAAATTTTTCACTCTTTGTTATATTGCAGCCATTTGCTAAAATCATTTTTTTTGTTTTTTTCCTCATTAATGTACACACAGCACCCCATATTGACAGAAAAACACAGAATCGTTGACATTTTTGCAGATTTATTAAAAAATAAAAACTGAAATATCACATGGTCCTAAGTATTCAGACCCTTTGCTCAGTATTTAGTAAAAGCACCCTTTTGATCTAATACAGCCATGAGTCTTTTTGGGAAAGATGCAACAAGTTTTTCACACCTGGATTTGGGGATCCTCTGCCATTCCTCCTTGCAGATCCTCTCCAGTTCTGTCAGGTTGGATGGTAAACGTTGGTGGACAGCCATTTTTAGGTCTCTCCAGAGATGCTCAATTGGGTTTAAGTCAGGGCTCTGGCTGGGCCATTCAAGAACAGTCACAGAGTTGTTAAGCCACTCCTTCGTTATTTTAGCTGTGTGCTTAGGGTCATTGTCTTGTTGGAAGGTAAACCTTCGGCCCAGTCTGAGGTCCTGAGCACTCTGGAGAAGGTTTTCGTCCAGGATATCCCTGTACAGATAAAGGTTATAAAATAAGGCTTTTCATTTTCCAAAGCTCTTCTGAAGTTCTTACTATCTGGAGGGCAACAGACTGTACAGCTAAAAGGCATCATACTGTATATGACGACTTCAAAGGTGAGAAAGAAACGAAAATGAGCGGAGAAAAGGAAGAAAGAGATTTCAAAGTACAATGTTACAGTATTTACAAGAATGAGGGAGCGTTCTCGATAGAATACATTACAGTGTTTATGACTGGAAGGGAACAGTAACATTCTAGATTCTAGAACCTTCGACTCGAACACGAATGGGTTCTAGAACTCACCTTAGTTCCATACAACTCATAAACAATGTAACGTGTTTTAACACTAGATAATGAGTTGAGTGGAACCGTGAGTTGTTTAGAAGCACTAAGTAACTACACGTTAGAGTGTTTCCGGATTAATTTTCATTTTTCATTTAGCAGATGCTTTCATCAATGTACTGTAGAAAGTTCATGCTGTTAATTTTTCAATAGACCTTAGTCAGGGTATCGCAGGGGCGTCGGGCAGGGAGTAATATTGGAACTGAGTAACAGGGGTCCATGGGGAGGGATCGCGAACCCCCCACTGAATGTGATTTTGAGGGGGCCCCATATCAAATTCATTGCACAGGGCCCAGAATTCCTAGCGATGGCCCTGGGGTATTGTCATATTTAATTTTTGAGAGGAATGAAAACAAGGATTTGAGGGACAGAAGTACAGTGTGTTCAATGGATTGTACTGTTGTTTCACAACATACCGATTGTCAACTGACCAAGCATCTTTCCAAAAGACTTTCAGTAGACAAAAACTCCAAATTTTCCAGTTGTGAAAATTACTTGTGATCTAGAACCTTCATACAGCGCATACCATTGTAATACTGTAAGTCTATCATTCGCAGCCTTGTTTTCATAATGCCGTCTAACCTGACTAAGGTATATAATTGCGCTTTAGTTCAATAGTGGTACAGTAACTGTGAAGCGTTCTAGAACATGTTACAATGGAGATGTGAATTAAAGGCTAGTACTTTAGAAAGTTTTACAACACGTGATGTTGAGAGTTCAAAAACTAAAGACTCGCTGAGTTTGATGTTTCTCAACATGTCACTTCCTGTCTCCAGCATTCTAACTCTCATTAATCCCTCCATCCCTGCTTCTCTCTATATGCATGATATGTAAGGTAAGTGTGTTGTGATCAGCTTGTGTGTGTGTGTGTGTGTGTGTGTATTTAGGGGCCGTTTACACGACAACGTTTTCAGCCAAAAATCGGGAAACTTTTTATGCGTTTTTCCTGTTCGTTTACACGACAACGGCGTTTTGGGGACTGAAAACGCATATTTTTGAAAACGCCACCGTTATTGTTTCCATGTAAACACCCAAAACGGGATTCTTTGAAAACGATGAAGTCATGCATGTGCGTAGTACGTGTTAATTATTATTTTTTTTTTTGTAGTACGTGTTAGGTATGTAGACATGCGCATTACATGTCGGTTTTAAAGGCAAGCGCGAACAAACATACTCAACAATGGCGGAGTACATGGTACTGTTGTTGCTGCTCAAGAGTTTGCTAACGCTTCTTCAGCAAAGTGTGGATTTACTTTACCAATATTACAACCAACAGCGGAGACGCATCATATTCAACATATAATTGTCACTTCCCTACAGGTACTGTTTACTAACAAGCGCCAACTACTGGCCTGGCATACGTAATACAGCATTTTTGGCCGTTTTCGCAGATATATGTAAACGCGGATTGTTTTGAAAGCGTTGTCGTGTATACATGAAACTTTTTAAAAATGCAAGGGAAAAACTTTTCCGTTTTTGACTACATCGTTGTCGTGTAAACGTAGCCTTATATTTCATTGACTTGCCTGTTCCTATGTGCTGAGACAGGCTCTGTACTGAGTTCTCACTCTCTAGCTTTTAAAGTGCTCATAAATATTTGAAAGACTTTTTGCTCTCTTTCTCTCTCTCTCTCTCTCTCTATATATATATACAAATACACTACCATTCAAAAGTTTGGGTTCGTTAAGATTTTTTAATTATAAAGAAGTACCTTCTGCTCAACAAGGCTGCATTTATTTAAGCAAAAATACAGTAAAACAGTAATATTATGAAATATTATTACAATTTAAAAGAACTATTTGAATATATTGTGAATATATAGTAAAATGTATAATTTATTTCTGTGATCAAAGCTGAATTTTCAGCATCATTACTCCAGGCCTCAGTGTCACATGATCCTTCAGAAATCATTCTAATATGCTGATATTTGATTTGAAATAGAAATCTTTTGTAACATTATAAATGTCTTTACTGTCACTTTTGATCAATTAATTTTGGCATCCTTGCCCAGAAATACATCTTACTATGTACACCTCCGCTTTCAAACTACTTAGAACCTTGTATCTGTCATGTGGAGGTCAAAGTGCCATATAACGCTTGGCAGGCACTGGCTCAGATTCTCAAAAAGGGGCGACACTGAATGTGGTTTATTGACGCAATAGACACTGATTCGCTGTGAGTGACAGAAAGAAACAGACATGAGAGAAAGATACAGGACAGGTGTGAATGGGAAATGGGAGAAACCAGCAGTTTGACAAAAAAGATCTGCTTCAGAAGACGGAGAAACAGCTGTTTGAGAGAAAACATCTGTCATCAGATTTTCCAACATCCCCGGAGCACATGCACACATATGCACACATACACACACTCACAAATGCCACACACACACACACACACGTGCACAAGGTGTGGGAAAGACTCCCGTAAGAGTGTGTGAGATATCGCCCTGTCAGCAACACACACCCACACTCACATCTTCGTTTCAGCCATCAATACTATGGGCGCAGCAGGAAAAGACACAAAGTGAAGCAAGAAAAATAGTCAATAGCTCTTCATTGATTCAGCATTGAGATTGATGTAGTCTGAATGTCATACTCTAACATTCACAACACAAAACTTTCTAGCCCATCCAGAACATTTATACAAAACTGCAAAAAAATTGAACCATTTTTAAAATCATCATGATCATGATGTCATTAGCGCATTAAAATTTACCCGCCCACATTTACATATCAACACCTATTCAGTATTCAGCAGCTTGAATGACATTTCGCATTCCCAATCCATCCCATTATCTCAAAAACCAGGAACTCCCTTCTTTACTCTTCTCTCTCTTTTAACCCTTCTGTACTTTAAAACAGTGTTTAAGATGACGTTTCTCTCTCATTCTCAGATTGTGAATGTAATGGACACTCGAATCGCTGCAGTTACATCGACTTCCTGAACATAGTGACGTGCGTGAGCTGCAAACACAACACTCGTGGTCAGAACTGCGAACACTGTCGCATGGGCTTCTACAAAAACACCTCTGCAGAGCCCGACGACGAGAATGTGTGTATCGGTGAGTAACAGTGTACATTTTATATGTTGTGCAAAATAAATTAAATCACTGGCTCAAGCAATACGGTATCTTATAGAGTATGAATGGCATTAGCAATGCCACAGTCATGGGTTCAATTCCCAGATGCTTGATCTAAGAAAAAAGGTCTTCAATACCGAAATTATGACAGAAATGTAGTATTATTGTACATTACAATGTGCTCCTCAAAGTACTTACGATGTACTTTCTTTTGTGTAGGTTTGTTTGCCAAAAAATAAAATGAACTGTTAAAATGTATTACAATTTTAAAAAATGTATAAATTGTTATATTTTATGCCTTGATTTGATTATCACAGTTTCTGATAATAAATGTGTATTAAATCATAAATCACAAAAAATTAAAACAATTTCTGAAAAAAAAAAATAAAATCATAGGGCTCTATTGTTGTAAAAATTGTAATAAATTAATAAATTGTTACATTTTGATTAATTCAATTGATTAGAAATGCTTTTTAATTATTAAAATGGGATTAAACCATTAAAACAAAATCCAGGGGAACCAGTTCAACAAACACTGAAAACGGGAAAATTTAAACAGATTTCATAGGGTGCTAAAAAATGTAAGTTTTGTTAAACTTTTAATAAATTGAATAAGTTTCATGATTTCAATTAATTAGACATGCTTTTTGATTACTTAAAATTTCATGCAACCATTTAAATCAGAATCCTGAAAAATTAAAATCGGGAAAAAAATGAATCCTGAAAAATTAAAGTGGACAAAATGTAATCTGTGAAAAAATAACAGATTTTGAGAAAAAATGTATCTGATTATCATAGGGCCCATCTATAAGCTGCTGTACATGACCTTAAATTAATTGCAATGCAGCACTCATCTATTGCTGCAATTACTGTGGAGTGAGCCATCCTTGATGAAATGACAATATTTACAATTAAAATACACAAAATTACAATATTTAATGCATCCACTAAGGCCGTAAAACTGAGGAAGGCTGTGCTATACAATGCACAGTCTTTGATGGTTAATTTTGTCAGTTTTAGACAATAAAAGCAATTCAGCAAAACAATGACAGATTAGGAGCGTTAATCTTTAATAAAAAAGATTTGAATAAAATCTTTAAAAAATCCAGCTAAAAGAGACAGGAAATCCCTCTAACTGAAACAAAAAGAGACGTAGCTCGAGAAAAATACTAAGGATGTAATCAGGAGAAAGTTATACACAGACAACTAAAAGAGGGAACAAAGAAAAAATGCAAGATGAAACAAAACTGCATTGGACGTCACGGTCAGCAAAGTTAAACTGCAACATTATCATCCTGTGAGCGTCATATTAGAGATTCCCAGCAGTGCTCAAGTAAACTTCCAGAAATAAACCCGGATGTGACAGCTCTTAAATCAGCGCGACGCTGAGAGTACCAGGACGGAGAAGGGAGTCCATCTGCTGCAAGAGGAGGCAGGGCGCGGGGTAAATGAAAGCGTGCTGTGAAGTCAGCACAAACCAACTCGCCCTCATCGGGTGTGCGGCAGGTGACAACATGGCACAGGGTCAACACCAAGATCTCCATGAGGAGAACATTTACCTCATCCTGAGCTCACAATAGCACTGAGTTTGCGGTGTCTATTTTCAGGAGTTCTCACAGAAGTGCAGTAATTTGTTCTAATGCAGTTGGCTGCAGCCCAATGCAAAATACTGACGTGTATAAAAATATCAGTGCATAGTTTCTAAAAATAATAAAACATAATTAATTTATAGCTACAATACACTTTAAAAGTGATGCAATACATTATATCTTTGAAAAAAATATATTTTTGTGAGATTAACAATGCATTTTTGTAGGCTGAAGCACAAGTTAGCATCACCCTGGTTTCCTCAACAAAAACCAATAGGATTTTTCCATTGCCTTTTATTTATTGAAAAAAATAAGCTCTGTTATGATTCATACACATTTTGTTCATCACAATAATCTTCAGGGTTTCTGCAGAAGGTACATTTAAGACTTTATTAAGACCTTTATAAGACCAAGTAAATAAAATGTAAGGAATAAATTGAAGGGAACACTAATCTTGATTTAAGGATGTTTAGATTTGCATTTTTTTTTGTTTAGTTTTTTTTGCAATGCTAAACTTAATGCCATGACTTTTTAAAGGTTTATTTTCTATTAAGACATTTTAAGGCCATAATTCGTGGAATTCCTTTTTACAACCTTTTTCAAAACCAGCAGAAACCCTGTCTTCACTAATGAACACATCTTTTACAAATTTTGAAACCTAATACAACGCCAAGCTATTTTGAGCTTGTGTTGACCACAGACCTTATTTCAGCCATTTACCCAAAACCCACTGATTTCATGATGATGGAACTGGAAGTGCTAAAACACATCATCCCTACAGCACTCTATACCCAGTTATTTTTAGGTAACCAAAGAGATGGGAAATGCAGTTTGGTCAGGTCTGTCTCTTCATAAACCAGCTAAATTAGTGTTTTCTGGCACACTTTGGTGATATTCTTTGTTAACAGTGCACAAAATGCATACAAACTAAACTGTACCATCAACATTCACAATTAAAATTATAACGATTAATGCCAATTTTCTTCCAAGTTTAACAAAATTTTCAAGAGTTTCCTACTGTTAATTAAGATATAATGCGAAGCATATACATTCATTCAAATGCTCGGCATTTAGCGGCAGCGGTGACGAGGCTCCATTCACTTCAGGTGTGCCTCATCACATGCCACCAGCCTTGAGTGTTTCTGCGGCCCTCCTCTCTCACACACCCACTTCTGTCGGGAACCTGGAGGGCGGCGTTTAAGGGACGAGGTGATGATGATAATAAGGGGGGAGGCAGCCGATCCATCACAATACAATCTTTCCAACATAGCTTGAACACAACATAAAACGATACTGTTGCTCAATATTAAATGGCCGACTGATATATCGTCCAATATTTGGGATTTTTTTAATTATCAGCATTTTGACAGCACTGGAATGCCAGCACCTGAATGCACAGAACTCCCATTCTCCGTCTTAATTAGTTTAGCGGTATATCGTTCATTGGCCACCCTGCTCTTTAAGATATTGGCATCAGCCATTAAAATCCATATTGGTCAACCACTTCTCAATATAAACAAATAGCATGCTTTTTCACAATGCAAATAAAGCTTAAGTATGCACTAAGAAGACATTTTTATGAATAAATATAATGGCCTCAAGTGCATGCAAGAAAACGCCATGTCATATGTGCACAGCAACATTAAAGGGGTCATATGATGTTGCTAAAAAGAACATTATGTTGTGTATTTGGTGTAATGCAATGTGTG